TGTGAGCGTATTGCCCAGAGAGCCTCGCCATGCTTACGAGTACCAAGTCAAGGTGCATATCGCGGCCAGTACACCTAAGTGTATATATGTAGAAGCCATGTATCGAAGTTGATACCGCATATCTCTTCTGCGCTTACATAGAGCCTCCATTCTACGAATGATTACGGCACTATACTGCGTTTCTGTCTTTCGCACAAGGCCGCTTGCTTTCACGTAAAAGATGTAATCTTGCTCAAACTCCTACCGGTACAGTTTGCTCACACTTGCGTGGCCATATATCGGTAAATTAACGTTAGCGTGCATTGCGAGCTGCACGGTAAATGTCCACGATAGTGTTGTCGAACGAGTTTTCAACATCCACCTTTTATGTAGTAAGTATGTCACGAGTGTTGAGAGCATTCAGTTGTAGAGTCAGCCTTCAAATCGAGTTATCGTTCACGACAACCAAGTGAGGAAGGAACGGAGGATAAAGAGCAAGTAGAAATGCAAAGTGTATCAAAACAGACATATTTTGGATGTCTAGTCTGCCGCCCTATTGCAGGCTAAGGTTATGCGCTTTCCTGCAATACTCTAATGTGGTTGCAGTATTGTTGAAAATGAAGTTAACTTATCACAACACATCGAGCTCGATGTACTACCGTTGCGACCACGAACACGCCAAAAAGCTTGCGATTTCGTCATGATTAGGGTCTGGGCAGTGCGTCTATATAAATCTCAATTCGGAGTCAAGCCGACCATGACATGGTTTCTATAGTCGGAAGATTAATAGCGTAAAACTGTGCTGTGGATGTTTAGTTAGTATGTACTCTCTGCCAAATTATCAGTACTGTAAACCCAGAGTATTTACAGAGCACACTACTAAATTCATACCGACCTGTCATTTCAACGACATACATACCGGTATATATACTATACTTCACCACATCACGTTACTGAAACAAGTTCCATCAGTCGCATGGCATTTCTATCTCCAAATTGTCGTGGCTGGATGGAGTTTGACCACCTGCGTGGTTTTGCACATTATAGCCAATAGAAATGCTTAGCTTACAGCCTGACGTGCGTCGTGCAAATTCGATTTATATCACGTCAAATTCAAATATCTTGATATTTGTATTTACTGTTAGGGGTTCATAGTTTCTCGATGGAAACGGAATTTGCCCGACGCTCGTCGTGCACGAAGCCTTATAGCCGGATGCCGGTTGTGTAAAAACCGTATTAGTATGTACACTGTACGAATGACTTTCGGGTGCTTTGCGTTTCGACGATTTTGAAACGCATATTTTAATTCAAAAGTATTTTAATTTGGTACTACTCTGGTCCGTAATGTTTGTACCATTTGTGTTCTCATTGGCGGGATTTTTCTGATTTTCCACGGATTGTGGATCTAATTGGTGCATCCAAAAGCGCAAGATCTCATCTTTAATTGGCTAGTTTCAGGTTTTTCCAATTCGTTTTGCTTGGAAAATGGTACCCTGCCAATTAGGCGGGAGAGTTTGCAAATGTACGTTTTGACCCGTCAGTGATTCATTTTGCAAAACTACACCACTAAACTTGCACACACTTGTTTGTGTATGCCAGCGCATGTCGCCTCCTCCACTGGCGATTCACCAGGGCCAGTGCCTCGGTCGCGAAATCTCACGCCGACCCAACGCCGCGTTGTGTACGAGAAGCTTCTCGAAAGCTTTCGTGCTGGGAAGTTGTCCCACGGTGCTTTCAAGGAAGTGTTTCTACTGTTTGGTTGTCACTGGAAGACAATATCACGCGTCTGGACACGAGGACGTGAGTCCTTGGTAGGCAGCGGCACTTTGGCCAACGTTGCGTCCAAAATTCCTGGTATGTCCTTTCATATTCAATATTTCTACCTTGTTTGAGAGTTATCAATTTATACAATTGTACTTTTTTAAGAAATGTCGGTAGAAAAATGAAGCGGTCGCACGAAGAAGTGAAGGCAGCGATCCGTGCTGTTCCCCACCACTCTCGAGAAACATTGCAGTCGTTGGCAGCCGCCTGTGCCATCCCGAAGACAGCGATCGTACGACACCTGAAGGCAGTCGCTCGTTTTAAGGCCCGGTCTAGTTATGTCAAGCCGTTCCTCACCGCCGACAACCGCCACGCCTGGGTGGAGTATGCAATGTCGTTTCTGACCCTTCGTCGAGTGGAAATCATATTTTCTCCGGCATGTACGATTATGTGCATGTCGACGAAATATTGTTCGACTTGACTAAGGTTAAGAGAAGGTATTACGTTTACGACGACGAAGTCCTCGCCTTGCGCTCCATCAAGTCCAAGTCCTTCATAACGAAAGTGATGTTTTTAGCCGCCGTTGCTCGCCCGCGATACGACTACGGCCGCAAGCAAGCCTTCGACGGCAAAATTGGTGTTTGGCCGTTTGTGACGAAAGCGGCTGCAGCTCGCGCGAGCAAGAATCGACCAAAGGGTACTATTCTTACGGTTCCTTTGACCGTCAACTGCAACGTATACGAAGACGTCGTGCTCGAGAAGTTGGTCCCCGCCATCAAGAGCAAGTTCCAAGAAGCGCCCAAGGGCAAGGGAGCTTTGTCCAACAAGACAATGCAAGTCCATATCAACGAGTGAGGACAAAGTTCCTCGAGTCTCGTGGTATTCAAGGCGTGAAGATCGCAAACCAGCCTGCGAATAGCCCAGATTTTAATGTTCTCGACATAGGATTTTTTAACTCGATCCAAAGTCTTCAGTATCAAAAGTCTTCTCATTCAATCGAGGAGCTTATTGATGCTGTTGAAAGCGCGTTTTATGAGGTTGCCAGTTGAAACCCTGTCGAAAACCTTCATTACGCTTCAAAACGTACTTGATAGGTCAATTGAAATCCAGGGTAGCAACAATTATCAACTTCCTCACACGAAGAAGGATGCGGCAATCAAAAACTTGTCGATATTCAACATTGAATGCGAGGCGTCGACATATGAAGATGCTTTGGTTCATTTGAATTGTCGTCTTGGCGAAGATCGGCATATGGAGAGTCTCATGAATTCCCGTGATGAAGTAGCCCAATTGAATAAAAATGCATTATATTTTGTTGGTGCAATATGAGTTCCTGGAGTTCAATACAAAAACCTATATGTTTCAAACCGCCAAGGTATACTTTAAACCAAGTCAAAAACAATGGTACAAACAATACGGACCAGAGTAGTAAACTGAAAAACACAGGGGAGTCAGAGGACAGAGAGTTATCCGCATCCGAATAAACTCACTTGGAGAAAATGCCGCATCTTTCAGAGCAGTCAGCCATCCTCGTTGACTTGGACACTATGATTAGAACAATTGTCACTTGCAATCTACGTTCGACGCATGCCACTAAGTTAGAGGTTCACAGGCTTCTTCAATTGCGTTTCATGCTCCTAAGCTCTCGCTATATGCTTCCTCGGAGGCCTGCGCTACGTTCAATGGAGCAGTTATCTGTCCTTCCATTCATGTCTGTTTCTGACTTTGTGCAAGAAGTAAGAATTTGTCAGAGTACATTCTTACTTCATTTGTTAGAAATGCACAGTGTATTTTAACCATCAAGCAACAGAAGTCAGCGACCAGTTTGGGTATAGCTTGCCTGTGCTTTACACCGCCTCGGTCACAATGGCACGGGTGCGTCTGTTGGAAAGGTGTCAAGATCAAAAGGAGTTAGATCAGGAACAGTTCATCTGTACACCAAGCGAGTTATTATAGCTCTTGTGTCATTATCCAAATCTGAAATAAATTGGCCAAACAGCACTGAGCGAAGCATTCTTGCTCGGTACAATGCAGAACGTTATGGATTTCGTAACTGTATTTTGTCTACTGATGGCACACACGTCGTATTATATCGGAAACCTGCTTTGCATGGTGAAGAGTATTACAGTCGAAAAAAAGAATATTCAATGAATGTATTGTTGACTTTTGATCACAATTGTCAAATACGTCATGTGATTGCCGGATGGTCTGGCAGTGTTCATGATTCCACTGTGTGATCGTCCTCGTCGTCCGCCCTACGCCCCAACTCGTTCTTTGACACCCACCAGTACCAAGCCGGCGATTCTGGCTTTGCCTTGGGGCCAAACATGCATGCTTACTCCCTACCGTCTCCCCCAATCCTGTGAATACGCCAACGGGATTTTCAACACCGGCCAAGCAAGCATGCGTTGTGGTTTGTGGTTTGCAAGCATGGGAATGGCATCTGGAAAGGCCGCTGGTCCAGTTTAGCTCTACTTCCACTCGACATGCGGACATCACGAGACGCCAAGACAGTGTGTGATTGGATCCTGGCGGGTGCTTCGTGCTCCATAACATCGTTAATCGACTCCGCAATGGAGAAGTTGAAGTGCCCCTGTACGTCGAAAACAGTTCGCCAAAGAACCCCCTACAATGTGCCAGCTGACGACAATGCACTATTTTCACGTGAAAACATCAAAGCCGAGCTACTTCAATATTTGGGTCTGACGGAGTAAATAAATTTGCCATAAACATTATTCTAGTGTGTCTTGTTCAAAAAATTATGCTATGGTTTCAATATATTATTCAGGAAATGCAATTGAAACTAATTCATGGATTTTTGCGGTGTCTACGACTCCTGATACGACCAATTTTTCAATCAAGGACGCTCTAGCTTGTTGTTGGTCTCGGATTGCCGTCGCGGCTCAAATTGTTTGGTCATTCGCCTTCATATATTCAAACTTTTCGCATTCGAACTGAGTCATTTGGCTCTGGGCATCCATTATATACGGCAGCAAAGTCCTTGCGCGGGGTGAGTCTCTTTTCAGAGACAGGGAACTGGCGGGCAATCACAGGTGTCGCCCCACGACTGGTTGCCTTCGCACCATGTGCCTCGATCAACGGTGTCTTTGGCGCATCCATTGCTTGTCCTGGGTCTTCGATGTCGTTGGCGACCCAGTACTCGTCGTTTTCTGGGTCGTTGGGGTTGTCTGGGTCGTTAGATGCCCCTGCCAAAGAAGTGCCATCGTCGTCATGGTTGCCATCGTTGCTTCCACCGGCATTCGAATCATAAAAAGGTGAATGCAACTCTAATACATATTTATTTGATAATGGCAATGTCAAAATCATATAATGTTAGTAGTACTAGTAGTAGTTAGTTACCAACGTGGGAACTTGTTTCCAAAACAAACGAAGGGCCAAAGTTTTGGCGCTCTCAGTACAGTACAACGCATTCATCTCATTGTAATACGGGCAAATGTCCTCCAACTTGCCTTCGATCGTAAAGATTTCTAAAGTTCAATGATATGAATAATCAATCTATATGGAACGTAATCATAGAATTGTTTATTGTACTTTTTTTGTAGTCCTTGTCCGTCAAATCGCGACTACTTTTGCTTGGTCCGCACTACGTCAGTGCTCGCTGATACGAAGCCACATACGAATCGTATCGACTTTTGCCGTTAATGGATTAACTCATCATTGTATTGTCTGTACCTGGACTTCTTGTCTTGTGTGTTGACCAGCGTTTCACCGAGCTACCAACGACTGCTTTGACGTGCTCGGCAAGCATTTGGTGCCCTTGCGCTCGCGTGATCTTTTGCCCACATTTCACGGCTTTGTTCTTCGTTGCCTGTCCCGTCATGATGGCAAAGTTGTCGGGGATTCGTAGAAACTCGAGCATCGCCAAGCGATGGGCACGCGTCGTCGGTTCCCTCTTCCACCTTGTCGACGCTCTCGCCGGCCATCGTTGTATAACACTGCCTTGTTACTTTTTGTACTATTAATCGTATACTTTTGAATAGCATTGTATGATTGGCTGTTTACACGACTTGTCTCAAACAACTTCAAGTTGCGTTTGCGTTTCAAAACCGAAAAGCACCTCGCGAGGTGCTTTTGGTTTACGAAAAGCAATTGGAGTCATTAGAGGTAGTCAATACAGGAATTGGTTTGCTTTTCGTAGAAGCTAATAAAAATACAAAAGAATATAAATTTTGCTTTTCACAATCGAACGAAAAGCAGAAATTTCCTAAATTGACTCCCTGAGTTGCACATGCATATTTTTATAAATAATATTATCCATCACTTTCAGTGTCCTCACGGGACCCCCTCATCCGTGGCTTATTTTGGGGAGTTACACTACTGATACAGTAATACATGTACCGCGTAATAGATGTCCTTCCACGTAGGTGATAGATATTTCACAGCCCAATGACATTTGGGTGTTGACATAAATATCTCCTTCCAGGTATGCAAAATTCAAGTACAATGAAAATACAACAAGCACGTCATTTCTAGTAAAGGTCCATCTATATATCTATAGATACAGGTATTCTATATTTACAGTTTTAATTTTCAGTTCAGTAAATACAAACTCCAATACATTTTAAAACCAGAATTACAATTCATGATTAGTAGACTATATCGTCCGTCGGATCAATCGTGTCATCCACAGCAGAATTCGCAACGAGTTCCGACAATATATCGACATGAACCGTAGTTTCGACAGTTTCGTCCACTGCTTCATCTTGATGGACAATCTTGCATTTCGCAAACCCGTTGGTGATGATGGCTTCCGACAATCCAAACCACGCGTCTGTAATCCATTGCACCAGTGTTGGACGCTTCGGAGCTTGCAGCTTGAACGTCGAGTTCTGAGGCTTACTGTTCTTGACTTGGCGCCGAATACTGTGGATCAACATTTGAGACTTCATAGGCCGAATCCAGGCCACTTCTGCTGGTTGGCACATCCATGTAAACCAGGCAGGGATCTTCTCCAGCACGACATTTAACTCCACAGCACAGGCAACCACCTCGTCATTTAAATGCGCAGAAAAGTCGTCCCAAATCAACAACACTTTCTTCGTCGCAAGGTCAGCAAAGTGGTAACAATGGAAGACCACCTCGATGAGTGAGTTCCACCACGCAGTTGGGTTCCCGTAGTTGCGACACTGGGACCGATTCTCTAGGGGCTCGACGTCCTTCCACAGTTTTTTGCCGAATCCTTGACGAAGCGTCAGGTCTTCTTGCACGACGGCTTTGATCTTGGAAGCAGGCGTCTTCAACACCAAGAACAAGGGTTCTTCTTATCGGTCGAGTTGGCCATAACCATGGCCATTGCGCGATCCTTGGACTTGCCTCCACACTTGTTCCACACCGCGTTGTCGCCGTGAGCATTGAGCGTTGTGGTCGGTAGGTACTCATAGTTCACACCCGACTGGTCAGCGAGGACCACCTGGGCTACACGTGCCGAGACAGTTGCCAGCACCGCGTCGCCGTCTCCTTGTGACTGGTTCCCACACGACTGAAACAATCGCGCAGGCAATAAACCTTCAAAAAATAATACTACCTCAAAAATGTATATATGTATTAGAATAAAGAGGGTATTCAAAAGTTTAGAGGATATATTGCCGCGCAAGGTTATCCTGTTAAATTTATTGTCCATGGTCTCCGTCAAAATATCAATACATACAGGAACCTAGGAACCTGGAAGGAGATAGGAGTAACCACCTGGAAGGACATCTATTGCACGGTATAAGACTTAGCAGTACTCCAAGATGGGAATGTTTGCTGCTTCAATACTGTACAAGCTCGTTGTCACGAAGCAAGAAACAGGAGGTAGGCGTGGGTGATAGGCGTGTAGCAACTTTGCGCAGAGTGTCCAAGACAAACCAAGTGTGCGGGACAGGGGAAAACCAAAAGTGACATTCAGTCGTTTACAAACTATCTAGCTTCGTTTCTATTGGCTAAAAATCAGCCAAAGGGAAACACTGACCTGTGAGAATCAGCGCTCTTTTCCTTGTGCTAGAGCCGTGATTGGGTGAGCAATCACTAGGGTAGGGTTGCGACATGAAGAATATGCAGAACATGCAGGTATAAAGCGGCCACTGTCTCGGCCTGTCAGAGTTGATAGACTAGGCGATAGAGTTTGGGAGAAAATAGGCGAGGACAAAAGGCGTGAACACAGGCGAGGGAAAAGCACCACTTGACAGCCACCACTTTTCACAAGCCGAAAGATGGGCACGCCTTTGAACGGGCAGCAGGGCTCACAAACAGAGCAGAAAGCAGACACACGCCACCATGAGCCATGAGTGTCCGCGAAAAAGGCGTAGGGTAAATGGTGAATGTATAGGCGTGAAAAGTACAAGTGGGAGAAGAGACTGAAGTGGAAGGAGGGAAAAGTAGAAGGAA